TCTCTGTGGCCTGTCCGAAGCCTGCCTCCTCTCTTCTTATGGGCTTCGAAGGCGACGTTTAGGCATTTTGGACCGCCTTCAAAAGCTTTTCGGCCTCTTGCGGCCTCTCTGTGGCCTGTCCGAAGCTTCTCGGCAGCCGGCAGGCCTCTTGCGGCCTCTCTGTGGCCTGTCCGAAGCCTGCCTCCTCTCTTCTTATGGGCTTCCGAAGGCAACGTTAGGCATTTTGGACCGGCTTCAAAAGCCTCTCGGCAGCCGGCAGGCCTCTTGCGGCCTCTCTGTGGCCTGTCCGAAGCCTGCCTCCTCTCTTCTTATGGGCTTCCGAAGGCAACGTTAGGCATTTTGGCTCGGCTTCAAACGCTCCCCAGAGCCTCACCGCAGCCTTGCCCTCTTCTCGGCAGCTGGTTGAATGCCAGCATTGGTGTGAAGCCCATCCAAGTCTCGCTGTTGAATCCCAGGAAGTTGTCAAGGTTCAACCGCCAAACCCTCGAGATGAAAAGGGGTCGGCGGCACCCGGGCGGAGCCCTTACAATAACATAGTAAAGTAATAGAACTAACCATTTTTCCTCTCTGGAATCTGGATTGGAATCTACCCAACGGCGCGGCAAAATGGGTCTGGTCCTCGCGTAGGAACAAATCCCTCTGAAGGAGCAGGACGCTAATTCTTTTCGGACCCATATGGAGGGGTCAGACCCAAATCTTTTGGAGGGGTCTTGGTTTTCTCGCAAATTCCTAAGTCTTGAGGGACTGGGGAAGGGTGGTTTTCACCCGTAGCGTCTGGGGAGGACGATCAAAGAACCAGATCCCCACGAACTTTCGGTCCCCTCACGACTTGCCCCCGTCACTCACGAGACTCGCATGACTCGTAAGGGGTCACGAAGTGAAGTTCCCAGACACGACCTGTGTGGGACTGGCAGATGTACCCACGTTGATGTATATTCCAATCTCATGGAGTCTTTGGGAATCCTTGACACTTGGCAGTTCACGCCCACGGCGTTCCACAACCGCCTGCCTCTGAAAGCAGTGCTGAAGAATGAAACCAACCACTGCGGCACAGCCTGGAGAGGGTTGTTTGGTCCATGAAACATGGTGATGTTTGAGTGGCCATATGTACTGTAGTCGGCACTTCAAGAAAAATGTTCGCCCTTCCGAAAATAAACAAACGCTTCTTTCACCATTTTTCACCTCATTAAGGCACTTGCTACATATCAACTTCATCTGACACCTCAAACTTGCCGACCCGGGTGTAGGCCAATGAAAATGAGCGTGAGCGGAGCGGGGCCGGCGTGTTCCTGAAGTTGAGGGGCTTCGGTAAGGGTGGACGATGTCGCTGCCGTCACATTGACAAAACATTTGTCAAATAAAGTGACGTTTGGTTGGCATTTGTCTAAATTCTAGTCTTGTGGCACCGTCAAGATTTTTTCTCGCGCTGCCCAGGCTTTGGTCCCGGGTTCAACGCCCTGCCTGTCCCGGACCTATACTCTGGTACCCATTGGATCAAGGCGGTGCGGGGTTGAAGCCAGGCGCGCGCGCCGCCAGGGTCATCATCTTCGCATAGTGGCAGCGCGCGCGCGCAGTACCATGCGGTCTGCTAGCCGCACTGAACTATAATAGCATTAATGCGCATAAGGCGGAAGCAGGAATACCACACTGTCCACACTCTGTTCCTGAGCAGTGAAACAGCCGAGGCTCGTGGGGAATATATGGCAAACTGTTTTGGGTGGAAAATTCAGAACATCAAAGGGAAGCATACGGAAGGCAACAAGTCAGAACAGCAGATGCGGCGCTCGAGCCTGTTTGACATGCTCCTGATAGATATGGATCGGCAGATAGTGCGGCGCCTGCCGAGCTATTCTTGTAAGCTGTGAAATACTGAGACGGTCAGATGAGCGTCGCTGGACGCAACAAAGTCGAGACTGGACAGAGAAATGACATGGAGAGATATCTGTGAACGTAATGCCCGCAACGGTGAGGTGGAGGGACTAACAACAAGCGTCGCGGAATTCATGCGTCTCGCCTTCATCTGACGGCGGTAGTATGCTCGTATTTGTTCCGCACTATACTCACCTGGCCCCCCGAACAGGATCTCAGTCCAATTGCGAACTCGGTCTGCTCAAGCTGGGATTTAGTTTGGGAGGGATGCTGAACAACAAGCACATCCAAAAGGCGTTTGGAATTTCTCGACAGTCTGGTGTGCGCCCGCAGTCGTTGCGCTCCGACTTCTTACCTTTCTTTTTCGGCGCCAGAGGATCAGATCTCGAGCAGGCAGCTCGACAGGCCCTGTCAATGCTGAACATGGACGGCTGCAAAGGCCATATTTTAAAAGGGACGCGAAGGACAAAGCAAACTGTAGATGACTAGAGAACAAGTTGGAAGGGGAATGAGGAAACACTTTGGAGAGTCACGTTTGGTGAGGGTAGCTGCCGTTTTCCCAGCTGGGTACTGTAGCGGAAACTGCCGAGACCCACCGAATCTGGCATATAGAGTGAGACAAAAGTTTCATGGATGGACACAATCCCATAGTCGCGGAGAACCGTACGTTCAACGCGCTGCTAGCTTCCGTGTTCTTGAAGAAGTGCAACAGCAGACTCAAATTTAACCCCGCCGGTTTTCCGGCTTGGTCAATTTTTTGCACGATAATTAACAGCGACACACCACCAATCTCTGTGGAACTACGTTCATCCGGGCCGATTGAAGTACCACCCAGCAGAGGTGGCCCTTGTAGCGTGACCCGGGCAGTGGTCGGCCGCGACGTAAAGCCCATTTGGCCGTGTCTCATTCATGTCGAGCAATTGCATGGAGCATCGTTTTCAAGCTTTTGGATTGTACAAAACAGTAGGTATGAAGGATGGACAGAAGCGCTGTCAAGCAATGGAGTAAGAAAGTAGAATAGTAGCTGTTGGACTTGTTTACAAAATCACCAGCATGGAGTGACCGGTGCATTTCGGAGCCCACGGCGCGTAGGCACCACAAAGACGAAAGGTAGCCAGCCAAGGAAAGGCAGGAGCAACACCAGGACATCTTCCAGTGGCAACGTGGCGGCTTTTGACGTGGCGGCCCCTTGGGGGGCCGTCGGCGGCTGTCTTGCTTGGAGGCCTTGGAGGCTCCAATGGTGTCCTTTGCGCCGCTAAAAGAATGATTGGCTGCCTGCAATAGGGCAATCGCTCCCTCCAGCGCTTGCTCCTGGCCGAAAAGGCCGGCAAAGCCTTGTGCAACTTTCCCCCTTTCTGCTTGAGGGCCTTTTTGCCGGGCGCAAACTCGCTTGCACAGGGACTTGATGAAGCCTATCCTCCTTGGAGTGCCTCTGCTTCCGACCCAAGCCCTTCTTCCAAGAGTCCCAATACTCGATTTGAGGCAGGCCAGCATTGGCCAGGCTTCTGTTGATTTTGCCCACCTGCTGCTCTTCAGATGGCCGCGGTTAGAAAGAGTAAGTGTTGCAAAAAACTGGCTGCACAAGGAAGGAAGAGAAATGAAACTTTGAGTTTCTTGTGACTGTGAATTTGTCAAAGGAAGTTTAGTGGGCAAAACTTCCGTGTTACGGACATTCAACAGCTGTTCAACCACCACTCATCATACACCACTCATCATACACCACTCATCATACACCA